AATTAATAGTTTTAGCCAAGTTGTACAATGATTTCAAGTAAGACAAAAAATTTGCAACTGTTATTTAAGAGAGTGTAACATTATTCAGAATACTAGATTGTTTGTCCTGAAGGAAGGGACCATTTACTCAAAGGTGTAGGAATAGCTTTAGCTGTACACAAACTAGTGTGATTGTAACTAAGACAGTCATAACTATCTTTTACTTATATCTGTTTTTGAAGAAAACAAGTTTACACAACTGGATGACATAACTGGACTAACTACAAGTAGTATTATACAATTAGTTACAGAGTCTCATGTTAAAGTTTTTAAAGGCTTAACTTATTGTATTATAATGTATTCTGCTATAAACATTAGAGTACTCAAGAGTAAAGGAAGAGCTGATACATGAGAATAGATAGATAGTAAAAGATAAATCTTGATACACTTTCTTATAAGGTATGTACAAAGAATTCTGTTATCAGATATTAAACTATACAATTTTAGACTGTTTTTGTATTGTATTAGCTTTGAGTGTGTTTGTTTTGTGTAAGCTACTTAGCAGTCTGACTTTTGTCACAGTTATAAAGCTACTACCTTTGAAATAGCAATTTATTACTATAGTATCTTAATACACAAACTTTTGAAAATATAATATATAATATATGTGTAATTTAAAGCTCTTAAACATAATTTTTAGTGGTCAATGTTCAGCAGAATAGAATTTACTTTGACTAGGAATAGTTACATATATTCATGTCACTATAATTTCTTTCCTTCTATTCCAATAACACTCTCAGATAAACTTGATTTTTTTACAGAATTACTTGACTAAGAAGTAAATTTAATTTTCAAGACTTTAATAACAATAGGAGGTTCTGTATTTACTGAGAAAATCATGTTTTATTCTGTTTCCAACTTCTAATAAACATCTTGTGTCAAAAAATCATGTGACACAGTCATTTCAAGTAATTATACAAGAAGTAGTAAAAGATTATTTATACTGTGTCTTCTTATAAATGTTGATTTAGTGATTGAGTGTCTAAACAACTGAAAATAGTAACTGTTTAGTATAACATGTTAAATTTCTGTGAAATTCTCAAAATGTGAGTTTATACATAACTAATCTGAAGTGATTGAGTACTATTACTGTTATTTTCATAAATATTGTCACACACACAATTTGTGATTTTTGTCACACTAAGTACACTCAAATACAAAATCTACTATAACTCAACTAATACCTAACCAAATTACATGATCTAAGTTGTAAAAATTATAGTTTTGAAGTATCTTTCATATTCTAGAAACAATCAAGTAAGATGAGCAAAAATTGAGTAAGATATAACACAATATGTGAATTTTCTGTATATTTCATGTATATTAGTTTTCCTAACTATAAAACTGATTGTACAATACTATAAACTAGTCTAAATGAAGAATATTACTTTATTATTAC